ATTTTTGGGTTAACTATCCCTTTAACAGTAGTGAAAAGGGAGCAACTTATAAAAACTATAGTTGTTCATATATAATATATATAATTTATAATTTTTGAAAAAGAAGCAGAATAAGACAATAAGACAAATACGAAAGAGATACAAATTAAGCTAATTTTTCAGATACAGTAGGTTTACTTAACATTTATTTAACATCTTTTGTTGGTAAACAATAATGACACGGATAGGTACTTAATTAGGAATGCTGTCCCTTTAAGACTGAAGGCATGCATGTAATACTGACACACGTTCAGTTTTCACCCACCTGTTTATGTTCACTTAATCCATAACCAACTGTATTTACGTGAGATACTCTAGCCTACACGATAGACATTTGGACTGCTCTGTGTGTGTGTGTTTGAATGCTGAGAACTGATCGCGCGCTGTATAAGAGAACTGAAGAAGGGGAGCGTGCGCGAGAGAGAGCACTTCTATCAGCGCGATTCCACCTATCCCACTTCACTAACTTTAAGTTAATCGACAACGAATTGTGACTCCCGGGAAAAATGGGACGTCTGGTCACCCCCTTGACAATGACCATTATTTATATACAATAAAAAAAAACAAAATCATTTGTACAACCAGATGTGAAACCAGCAGCTGTAATGGAATACAGTACGTTGGAATGTGTTATTCATTTTTATGACCAATAGATGGCCACAGCATAATCCGTTTTGAAAAAGCTTTGAGTAATGTACCTTTTTCTGATGCAACTGTTTTGAAAGCTTTGCTGGTTCAAAATGCTTCGCCATCACTAAAATAAATAATGAAATAAATAAATATATAGCAGCCAGCATCACTACTTCACACTTTATAGAGGTTAAACTACAACAATCCATCCCAAACATAATCATACATACTGATCACTAACAGCAACTTTTTACTCAACCAAAAATAAAACAAACTATTTCTTTACACATTTACTACCATCACACATAAACAAAACTTTTTTTAACCATTTAGGGGGGGGTGCACCGTTCCCGGAAGTACTGCAATACCGGGTCGATGCGTGGAGTGGACGGAGCAAGCCCCTATTCCATCTCCCTGCTCCAAAAATCAATTTAATATATGGTGCCCGGGTAGGGCACGTATCAGATATTAAACTGATAAGAACAGATACTACACTTGATCTTAGCCAAAAGGCCGAGAAGCGATGCCCACAAATGGTCAACAGCAGGAACCACATTCTTTGACATGGCAAATTTGATGATGGTAAGCTTTTTTTTAGTTAATTTTTTAACTCTAATAGTTCTTGTGCAGAATGCAATTGTTAACATAGCTCAGGTAAGGTAAGGCTTAAAGGGTCATGAAACCTCCCCTTACTTGAGCACAGGTCGTTCACACCTTAGACTTGAAAAAGGTTCAAGAAGTGGGCGTACAAAGCTGTGATAAAATGGGAGGGTAATGGGTGGGCTGAGGGGAGGAGACAGTATGAGGAGGGGAGGGGTCAAAGCATAACAACACAACTCAAGAGTCCTACAATCACACTCACTACAGACACTAAAGAACAATGAGTGGAGATAAAGACAGAAGAACTGGGGGCACACTGCATTTTAAAAATATGACCATATATGATCAACGTAAAAACCTTAAGCAATATTTACAGCTATCATGAACAAATGAAGCAAGTTTTTTAAATTAGTCCTATACTTTCAAACATTAAATAAGCATCTTGTTATTTCAGGGCAGATATTATATGTATTATGTATACGTATTATCACAATCAAACATACTGATTAGGCTTGCCGCGATAGTATAGATAGGGTTATGTCACTTGCCCACCGACCCCCACCGTCGTTTTGATTTTTTTATAGTAATAAAAATCATTTAGTTCAGTAAAAAAACAGACTACAATTAAAAACTGAACGCGGCTGCTCAATGCAGCGTGCCGAACGACAGTCGCATCACAGATCAGATTTCATTTATCCAGTGAGGAGAGCGAGTCGAGCTGACTGACAAGAAGAGTGAGGTGACGTGAGACAGACAAGACAATGGCGGATGATTTAGTTTCAAAACGAGATGCAAAAGCACCTGTTTGACAATATTTTGGGTTTTGAAAAGCCTGTTGACTTTTGCCGTTTATCTAAGGTGATTTTGGAAGTTTTTTTAAACATTCGTTTCTTATTTAAATGGTTCCACACTGTTTACTGATTTTTACTTTATTTAAACTTTGTGTCATTTATTATTATTTTTTTACATCAAGGTGTATGCCGTGCCTCCAAGCTTTCTTACTCGTTTTGCTAATAAACATTCTACGTTTCTTATTTATTTGTATATATTATACATGTTTACTTAGTTTAAATAGTCTATTTCCAATTTTGTATACCTAAGTTATTTGTTATTTTATATTAGGCATAGCCTGCCCTATATTTGTTTTGTTAATAAAAGTTCTGTTTTATATGTAGGCTAAAGTGAGTTTGACATTGTATTAGGGCTGCATGATAAATCCAAATGGAATCGAGATCGCGATTGCGATTCGACAGAAGCTGCGATTGTCATGCGTATCTTTCAGTGAAGCATGGTTCTGTGATCAGCAGTAAATCTTCATCCAAAGGCCAGAGGGCGCTCTCGCGCTGAAACTCCAAATACGCCTCGCAGAAGAAACCCAGAAACTGCCTATCGCTGCAGCTGAATAAACAGAAGATTCAACTGCTTTCATTGATTCAACATGACTAATAAACACACGACTACGGCAATATACGGTTTATCGGAGTTCTTATAATTTTCATTAAAATAAAGTGTATTAATAATGCAATGCCTTTATCATTGCTTAAATACTATGAAATATGTTGCGTGCCTTATTCTGTGTAAGAAGTCACATCATCTCACAGAAGGATTTATTTCAAACACTCGACTGACGTTATGAAGTGAGTTTGGAGTAAAAATATGTTATTAAATGTGGTATTTTCACATGCTTTCAGATGGAGCAGCATTTACTTCACAGAGCCGTAGTTCACTGAGAAGCTATGCAAACAGCTGTCATTATCGCCAACGATTTCAGAATCGCGCAATAAAATCGTCTGCGTTTTTTTTGCGTAACTTGTCAGTGAACTACGGCTCTGTGTAGTAAATTCTGCTCCATCTGAAAGTACGTGATGATGATTTCCTGCTGATTACAGAACCGGCATTACTATCAAAATGCGCATGAAAATCACATTCGATTAATCGTGCAGCCCTACGTTGTATTTTGTTGTTGCAGTCAAGCAACTGACGCCGAACTGCCGCTAATTCGAAAGTGAAAGTAAAATGCACACAGCGCTTTTAAGCTATTTAAAAGCGAGGAAAAGAGGGGAAATTCAAACGAACTAAAAACGAACAATTGCTTTATGCCGAATTGCCGCTATTTGAAAGTGAGAGTAAAATTTGTCACGTCGATTAACTGGTGGGAACATGTCCTCACCGTCACAACCCTGATACTGATGTACAAATCCACAACTTGTTCACACATATGATAAACTATTTTTAAACTAGTAATAATTCCTTATAAACCGTGTACATTACGGTTCTATTTCTAACCAGAAAATCAGGGGAGAGCGCGAACGCAGTCCCCCACTACCAGAAATTATGCAGTCGAGATTCCCACATTTGGCGAATTCGCAGGTGTTGTTTCTACAGTCGTGCAAAGTCTATGGTGACCGTAGACTTTTACGCAATCCGATTGGCCGAGAGTCTACAGTCACCCAACCGTAAACTACCAATCAAACGGGGGGCACTATTATTAAAAAAATTAATAAATGAATAAATCAAACATAAAATTAATTCAAATGTTAAAAGTTTCATGAATTTAATTGATTAGACAAGCTTTCATTATTTCAAAGAACAGAAATGTTTTTCTTTCTAAAAATTAACTTTTAAAACGGAATGGAGAAAAAAAAAACTAAAACCAATCAGGAAAAATCTAAACGAAAAAATACAACTAAATTTGGGAAAAAATTTAACGAATTTCATATGCCCCTAAAACGCCAAGAAGTTTTATTATGATATTACAATTACGCTAGCCGCGATTAAAACGTATAACCAATATTACAGCATTAGTTTATCTCCACAATTTTTTTTCGATAACCTGTGCAGCCATAGAAGGAATACAGATAGATAGATTTTTTAATTATCCACTGACAGATATAGGCAGAAAAATAAGCCTCCGCATTCTGAGAGAAGGGTATTTCTGCAGCCTGGAGATCTCCAAATGGGGGCGGGAACTCCAAAACGGGGTTGGAGCTCCAAAATAGGGCGTGGCTTCCTCCCATTGACAGACAGGCACATGACACGAATGCGCAATTTTCCCCCCAAATCCACTTCAGTGCAAACTCTGCCCCACAGTGCAAGGTGATATTGGAGCAGTGCACTAATATTCTGTAGCAGTTAATTTTA